TTTGAATGAGTGATTTCTTTTCCAGGGTCTGTGTAATTGGAATCCACCAGGTATAGGGGAGGATAGCAAGTGTCTACAAAGATCTATTTTATTTCCACACTCACTCTTTTTTGTGTGTAAATGCTGAATCCTGCCCCACCTTTCCTTTCAGGTGTTACCACCAGTGGTGGTTGGTGTGATTGTGTAGCACCCTGCTTTGCTTCAGAGGACCCTCTGTTCATGTACCCCAGGCTGTGGTAACCATCCAAGCCAGGGCGATGATCATATTAGCAAATGTGGGAAGCAAACAGACATTGAACTCTATGCTGCAAGTGGGTAGTGGAATGGTAAACAAAAAAACAAATAAAATCTGTGAGTTTATTGGCTTTGATTTTTCTAACATCTGGAGATGGATACTTAGGTAGTATATTTTTAAGCTTCTTTTTTTCCTAATTTATGTTTTTAGAGCAATAAATGTATATAAATATATAAAATCTATAGCTAAATCCTAAATTGGAACATCTACTGGAGAATATTTCATAATTAATGTTATTATTTCCTTTGAAGCCTGTATTATTCATAAGTACATAGCTAATCTATCTTAGAAGATTTTTATTCTTTTTGTAGTTTTTAAATATTTTATATGAAGCATTATGAAAATTCAAAGAGGTAACACTCTTAAGCCAATTACGCTCTAATGAATCATTAATTTGGTAGCAGGTCCATTTCTAATTCACCTTGACCTTGTCAATGTAAGCCAGTAGGGTTCTGTCCCAAAACCTGAGGTACCGAGAAACCTCCGGTTTAGAAAAGCCTAATTGCTCTTTTTTCTTCGTATCTATCTCTATTTAAAAAGCTTAAATATTCAGCCAACATTTGTATTTGACCTTTGCTGCAAAGGATAAATGGACACCAGATGCTGAGCTCATTTCTGTTGGTTTCCTTCCTTTCTTTGGCCTTGGATCACAGCTTCTTATTGTCTTAGTGTTGCAGAAGGAATTGCTAAATGACACGTGGAGAGACGCAGAATGGAAGTAAAAATAACAAAAGTTTATTTTGCTAGCAAAAGGCCAATTGCTCCCAAAAGCAGTGCTAGAGATCGAGCCCCTACTTCTTTGCAGCTCCATCTTTTATATGGTTTTTCAGCCTTGATCTCATTCAGGTGGTTACATTTCATTTTCTCAGTTCACATTACTGATATACAAATCACGGTCACAAGACAGTTAACTGTCAACCCAGATGTAGTGATTCGTTGTATTTAGGGTAGTTTAATCTTTAAGATTTGCCTATCTATCTATCCTAGCACACAGGAAGTGGGTGTTCAGGGTCAGGAAAGCAAATGTTAACAATGGTTCTTTTCATCTTGACACTTTCAGTCTTGTGGTTTACAGAACTTCGGAGCTCAGGGTCTTGATGTGCCCTGTTATCTCAGAATGAGACCAGATGCCTTATTCAGTGGTTAATACCTCCAGTGTCTGTTAATTCTGAACTCAGCAAAGTGAACTGCTGTTAGAGACAGCACAAGCCATATTTCACTGTGACATTTTATGTTTTTCTATTTGTAACAGTTTTCTCTATAATTAGTACCCCTTTGCCATTATTATTTTTAAAGAAAGTTTCTGCTTTTATTGAAAATTTATATAGGACTCAGTATAGTAACAAATAGATAACCATTTTCATACACACACAAAAAATAATAGTGCCGCCAAGGATTTAGCTCAGCAGTTTGGTGGCCTGCCTTGCAAGCACAAGGACCTGAGTTCAATCCCTGGTACAAAAATAAAATAAATAAATAAATAATAGTGCTATGCTAGAGAAGAAAATATCAGTCGGGGTATTTACTCATAGTGGCAAGACACACTTTTATCAATACAGCATTCTAGAGCCAACGGTGAGACCCATCAAAATATAGGGATCAGACAAGATGTAATAAATAATTATTCAGATAAAAAGATGGAACATTCTCAGATGATAAAACTGTCTTTGTGAACTGCTGCAGGTCAATTAGTCTCACAAAATATTGTATATAATTTTCTACTAGCTTGAACAATTTATTCTACCACTGCTGTGAGCAGAACTGACACAGGATGCTTTATTTTTTAAGTCATATATTTAAGTCCTGTAGAGCCATGATACATTAAGAAGTTAAATAGTTAAATACTACCTCTATGCCTGTTTGGTGTGTAGAAAAACTAACTAAACTCTCTAAGCCTCAGTTTTCTCACTTGAAATGAGAATAATAATGGTAATACTAATAGTACTTACCTTATACATTTACTGTGAATGTAAAAAGAACAAAAGTAAATAAAACACCAGAAATTCTACTTGACAAAATAAGTGCTACTTCAAATTCTGCTAATATTGCAATTATTTTTTTATTATCATTGACATGAAGCACTCTAGTGAGGTTTTAGCCATATATTTTAGACACATATTTAGGCATATAAAATCTCTTCAATTTTAGGTCCATACATAGAAATACAAAATAACAAAAATTACAGGTACACATGCTTATTATCATAGGGTATATTTCAAAGATCATACTGGAAGTCTAAAAATGGTGGTGGGAAGTTGCTGGCAGATTCTTGCACTTAGAGAAATGAGCACAGTTAGATCACTGCAATTCGACATCTAGCCTTTGCCCTTACAAATTTAGAACATTAATCCTAACACTGATGTCACTAGACTTGAGAATAATGACTCACACTAACCCTCGTCAAAAGTAACTGATACATAAGTCAAATTCCAATTGTTTATTTACAATGAGAACTATTTTTACCTTGCACTCTAAAGATGATTGTATATTTATTACTGATGTATATGCCATTTATAGACAGTTCTATTTGGAAAATTAAATTGTGGCTAAGAGGTTGATACAAATGCACCAAAGCAGGATGAGAATTTTCCAGTTAGAAGAGCAGAACAAACACTTATCTTGCCTAAGAGCAACATAGCCTGCTCAAAGGAATATCAAAAGGTGTTTCAGTCTTTTCTTTGGTTTCCAGAGGAATCTTGCAGTCAAGCCAATACTCTAATATCATTTTTACCTCTGGGAGGTGAATCTTGGAATTCATTCTTCAAAATGAAACAGTACGCTGGTTCTTAGGAGAATCACCATGATTATAGTGTATCATAAAACATTATTGTGGCTCCCAAATACAGAATATGCACAGTGAACTTTAACTGTTAGATTTTTGGCTAAGAAAGTAAACATTCACCTTACATTTTTAATTTTTTGCATTACTTTGCTAATTCTATTCTTGAGTCCTCTTCTCTTACCTCCATCTTTCTACAATTACAAATGTTTCTCATTTATTTTTGGAGAAGATGCTTCTACCATCTTAAGGAAAAGCTCTGCTTGAGTTTCAAGGACATTTCATAATTTATCACAGGCAAGAAGAGGTTTAGGTCCAACGTGAAGGATGAAGCATATGTCCAAGGGTGAATGATACAGATTAAGTATGAAGCAAGATATGTACACTGCTACAACACAAAGAGCAAAACCTGCCTCCAGGATGTATGTTCCCATGCATTTAGTCTTTAGTGGGCCTTTTTTATTTTTTCCTATATAATTATTGGGCCTGCTTTTGGGCTTTGTAAAGGGGGCCCACTATAGTATCTAGAGAATGGCATTCAGCCCTGATGGCTGGAAGCCCAAAGAAGAGAGGCTGGAAGAGGATGAGGCTTTTGTATTAAAAAAAAAAAGGAGAGAAACAAAAATAAAGAGATTTGCATGTAATTTTTGAGCCTCTAGGTCTGTGTTTGAGGATTTCCTCTGGTACTGTATCCTCTATGAAAAGAATCCAAAGCACAGGAGAAAAAAAAATGTATGATAGGTCTAATCAGTTGGGTAGGTGACAAACTGATATTTCCTTTGATCATTGACATCAAGAGAACATATCTCTGGTTACATTTCTGTTCTCCTCTTTCAAAGTTAGTGATGCCTCTTACCTAATTCCTTTCTCTAGGTGCCTCTTTTTCCTAATGTTTCCTCTATTCTCATTGACACTGTTAAATGCTTCCCTTTTAGCTTTCTCTTGAGCAAGAGAAGTGATTCCAATTTCCCAGTATAAGCTTAAGGACTTGTCATAATGTGTATTATGTCACATAGCACTTGATAAATCATAAATACTCAGCTAAGAGCAGCTATGAATGTTATTCTGATTTGATGGTTTTTATTCTGATCTGTTTCTTCCATCAAGCTCCTAAGAACTTAATGTATTCTCTACACTCTGTGGTAGAGGAGAGCTTGGCTCTGCCTTCTGGTTTTTCTGCTACCATGCTTTCACCAGAATAGACTGTCAGTTTAGAAGTCAGAGGTTAATCATTTATGATCCTTTGACTGGGATGATACTGGTAAGTCCTCATACTTTTTTGTTCTTCTAGTTAAAGTAGTTACTGTCAGGGATGTTTCATTAATGCTGGTAGGTGGACTAGAATTTCAACAACAGACTGCACTTACCAGGTACAGCCAGTCTCCCATCCTTCCCATCATTTCAGGTTTCTGCTTCCTGGGAATTGATTCTCTGCTGCTTTCCAAAAAGGACAAGCACTTTACAAAAATACCTATAAATAATCAATAGCTCAAATATTTACAAAACTGAAATGGATCTTGGCATCTAATGAGAAATTATCCAAGTTCATAGTGCCTCAGGGGTCAAATGTGAAAAGAAAATACCAACATTCCCAAAGAAGTATCTAAACTAGAAAAACTGTACAACTACACAAGATTGTATAACTATACAAGATTGTATAGTTAGAAGCACTATTAATTAATTTGAATTTCTGGTTTACTTTTAGTAAATTAGGGCTTACATGCCACAAAAAAAGGTTATAGCATTATGATATTTGATACTGAGAAAACCTTTCTGAAATTTTCATTTTCTTTCCCCTAGATATAGATAGATTGACTTAGATGAAGATATGTGTAGATATATACATAGATTTAGATATAGATATATGTCGATATATACATCTTTAACCCATAACATGAGAGTGCAGATGTGCTCCTTTAACACTTTTTGTATACTTAAAGAAAAAAATAAATTTTGAAGAGATATTATGGTGCTGAGACGTTCATGTAGTATATAAAAATCGGAGAAAGGTCAACTAAGAAATGTTTTCAACCACTTTTCATTATAAAGCATAGGAAAGGGCCAGGGATTTAGCTCAGTGCTGTAGTTCCCAACTCATGAGTACAAGGTACTAAGTTTGATCCCCAGTAACAAAAAATAAAAAAATAAAGCATAGGAAAATAGAAAGTAGACACATATTTTAAAGTAATGAACTAAAGTGTTACATTGATTCACAAGATGTATGTGACAAATTGCCCTACAAAATCAAGACTCAAACTTTCTCCTTCAAACCTTCAAGGATAGTCATTCGTTTTCTAGATCATGACTTCTCTTGCAAAATATACTCTTCAGGGCAGATTTTACATCCTTATTCCTCAGGCTGTAGATCAGTGGGTTCAGCATGGGAGTTACAAGGTTATTCAGCATCTGAATTACAGCACCAAGCAAGGGACTGGAGTTGGGCTGCAGATAGATGATGATGACTGGCCCATAAGCACAAAGGATTGCAGTCAGGTGGGCGCTGCAGGTGGAGAATGCTCGTTGCCTGCCCTCTGTGGAGCGGATTTTTGATATGGAGATTCCAATGCCAGTGTAAGAAACAAAGACGAGAAATAAGCAAATGAGAGTTAAAAGACCAACATTTATAAAACCTACCCTATGAGCAAGAGATGTGTCCTCACAGGCTAGAGGCAACACTGCAGGTATATCACAGAAGTAGTAGCCCACCTGATTAGAGCCACAGTAAGGTAATTTGAAGGTGAGGGAGGTTAGGATAATGGCATGGACACAGCCACTCATCCAAGTCCCAGTAGCCAATACAGAGCACACTCTGTGGTTCATGATGACCATGTATCTCAGTGGATAACATATAGCAACAAAGCGGTCATAGGCCATCACTGTGTATAGAAAACACTCAGTGCAGCCCAAGAAATGGTAGAAGAAGAGCTGAGCAGCACAGCCCTGAAAAGAGATGACTTGACTGTGTCCTGAAAGGTATGACAACATCTTGGGGACAGTAGTTGAAGAGAAACCCAGGTCAAAGATGGACAGGTTTCCCAAGAAATAATACATGGGAGTGTGAAGCCGGGAGGAGGACAAGATAGCAGTAAGAATGAGCACATTTCCCAGGAGGGTGCATGAATACAATGATGAGAACAGGAAGACAAGGGCAGTCTCTAGGCCTTCTGTCTGAGGGATGCCCAGCAGGATGAATTCAGTCACCACAGTGTGATTTCTCATTTTTGTGGAAGGATCAACTCTTGGGTGTCTGTACAAAGAAATCTGTGATTAAATTTAATAGGCAGGTAAATTAACTGTGTTTACATCAGTGAAATGGTAAGGAAGAAAAAAATCCAGATATTCATAGAACAATTCTTCCTGATAGAAATTTCTTGATATGTCTGCTTCTTCTTGACTGGATATCTTTCTGAAATTTCTGTCTGGAGTGTTACATTGCAGATTGTGCTTATTAATGATCTTAGCCAAAAAAGAGTTACAGGCCTAGTCTCCTGTCTTTCCATTTTTTACACACACTATGAAATTTCATTACTTCAAAATGTTTTTTGTATTCTAAAAGAACAAATACAAAAACTCAATATATTCATGATACACAAGTTTACATCCAATCTTCTCACCTTCATTAAATACAATTTAGCTCCATTAACTCTATGTATAGCTATGGAAACCACGCTTCCAAAATACAGGGTCTTCCAAAGTTGTAGTAGGTGGTATGAGGTATACAATGACAAATTAGGTAGAAGAAGGGTCTTAGCTCTTAATGAATAGAAGATTCGTTGACAGGACTTTGATTTTCTGAGACCCCTGAGTGTGATACAGATGACTGTATGGCAAAATCTACCTCAAGCACCACCACCTGCAATTCTCTAGCCACACAGAAGTTAACTGTTACTAATTTTTATCAATAAAAGACATGGGAGTAAGGGAAAAGCTTTTCAAATTTCATATTCTGAAAATTTTTGTATCTTTTTCTTCTTGTTTTAACTTTCCCAATGATATCTTTGAATTATACATCTTCTCATGCATTCTATTGCCTAAGACTCCTTAAAATTTCTACCTACCTATCTATTCATCACCCATATATTCATCTATCTTGTGACCTTACATTTTTCCTAGTGATTGTAGAGACAGGGAAAAATTGAGAGCCAACGTAAAAAGCAGAGGACAAAAGATGGGCACTTGCCTGGCAAACAGGGAGCATAGTGGCTCATGTTATTCAGTGCTTTTTTTTTCCTTTCCTTCCTGACAGAAGGAAGGAGCCTCCCTGTCTACCCTTGCATTCTGAAGTCTGTACATAGATTACCTGAGTTCTGTTTCTTTTCATTTACTTTCAAAAAGAGTGACACACATCCAGTTGTGGTTCAACTTCTTTGCAGCAGTCTCCTATATGATGCCCAAGACTGCAATAATTCATACACACAGGAGATTTTAAATAACCTTGCCTTCCTTTGGGTTTTAATCCCCCAAGTCAGGCATGGAATTGAATAAGAGGGTATTTAATTAAATCCTAGAAGTGAGAAAAACATTGCTATAATTTGCCTTTTTCATGGAATAATTTTTAAAAATTCATTTAATGCCGATATCACACATATTTACATTTAATTTTTTACATTTATTTCTTTTTAATGCAGTATTGTGTTTATAAAATAAATTACACATTATTTTACTGCACAGAACAAATAGAATAGACATACTGCAGCAGTACATATGGTAACTGAGAGAATTAAAGAAACTCATGCAAACCTAGGCCCAAGAAAGTTGGGGACTAGTGCCAATTCAGGAACATAGGCAGGAAGACAGGAGGAGCAGCTTCCTGGCTCTGTCATCAGTGGGCTTAGCCATAGCAGCCTCTCGTTCCACGTGCCTCATCTCATGATGCAACTCTGATTTCCATGGTTGAGTCCCATACTTGTCCCTGTTTCCAGGGCATGGGATACAATGGAATGGAGATGGCAGTTTTCAAAGGATGGGGAAAAGACTACTACCCTGAGAAAGAGGGAAAAAAGTGTTGAAAGATCAAAATGAATTATTAGCTATCACTTGAAGTATCTGTCTTAGACTCCTTGTATCTTTTGTGGCTTCCATGTTAAATGTCTTGAATAATCACTATATACTGGGTAGGTGCATGGAATTCCTAATTATATATGCAGAGAAGAATCCCATATATTCCAACAAATATTGAGTAGCAAGTCTATGTCAGGAATTGGTTACTCACCAAGAGAAAAGAAAGGTCAGTAGGAGAAGCTTGATTAGACATATTCGCTCAGTTCAAAAAATGTCTAATCTACATGGAAGAAAAAGAATTATACAGTCTTATTTAAACTTCAATACTGTAATGACATCTACAGATAAGGAAAATAAGGATCAAAGATGTAACATGCCCAAAACTTTGGAGTTTGCCTTAGAAGGATTTGAGATTAAACCAGTTATTTTTAGAAATTTTTTACTATAAAGTTTTTTATTATAAAGTTTCTAACCATAAATTTTTGATGTTTAGAGAATATATGGGTTGCTCCATGATTCTAAATACATCTTCAATTTTTATTGAAAAGTATTGTTTTTCTTACACATCTCGCTAACAGTAAGAGAGTAGAACTGATAATTTTGCCATCTTACTTCTCCTGGATTATCTTTAATGTTTTGGCTGGAAAAATATTTTGTATGAATAAAAATGATAGTAAATATACTTTTAACCATCAAATGAAAGTCTTTTAAACTTGTCTTTGTTTGGCAAAAATTCCTTCAAAGAAAACAAATATGATGGACTATTTTAGATCTTAATTGAATGCTTTAGAATCAAGGTGGAATGTGCTACAGTGATCTAAGTCACAGTGAAAACATTTTTTAATCCTCCTAAAAGGTCAGGTGTTCTCTGTAATGATACCCATTGCAGATTAAGTAGGGATCAAATTACAATAAGATAAACTTTAACAAAATGTGCAATACATTTTTTATGTGTTCTTATACAGTAGTTCTTTTCTTCCACATCAAGCATAAAGATAATCCAAAATTGTAAGTAGTAAAAGCAAAATGGCAAGTTGTATTTTATTCATATTAATAAGCAAAATTCAATGTTTGATCCATTCTTTGGTAAAATAGAGATTTTATATGTGTTTTGAACATATCAAACATTTTAATGAGCTATACATGTGTTTTAATTAATAAGAATAGTATGGATTTATAGTATAAAGAAATGCTTTCAAAATATGTATATACAGTATTATGGAATGGCTAAAGAAAGCTAATTAACAAATATTTCCTCATATAATTTTTTTTGCTTTTGTATTTTTTGTTTGTTTTGTTTTGTTTTTTTGAGACAGGGTCTCACTATGTAGTTGAGACTGACCTGGAACTCACTATATAGCCCAGGTTGGTCTCGAACTCACAGTGATCCTCCTGCCTCAGCCTCCCAGAGTGCTGCGATTACAGGTGTATGCCACCATGCCCGGCCCCTCATATAATTTTTTAAAATAATAACACTTAAAATTTACTATCAAAATTTTTAAAGGATACAACACTGGTGTAACCACATTGTACATTGGATCTCTTGAACTCACTCCTCTGTTTAACTAAAATTTTGTGTCCTTTAAACAATATCATCAGCTCTCCCCAGACACACTATGTATCCTTGCCAAGGTAGACACCGTTTTACCCTCTGCTGCTATGATTTCAAATGTTTTAGGTTCCACACATAATAGAGGCTATACTTATCTTATCTCACTCTGCCCCACTTATAGGGAACGGGGAAGGGGACATTACCAGGACCTCTGCCATGGCTCCTGGCCTGTGAGCCACCACAGCACTAGGCAAATTCAAGAACAGACAGAAACCAGACTTAGACTGGAGAAGCTGAGTCTTGGGTCCTGTTTGTGCTGCAGGTGGCAGCAAAAAAAGAAGGACCCCAAGCACATCCTGTATTTATTCAATGCAGTTGTGTGGAGGAATAGAAAGCAGAGTATGCTTTGAAGGCATCTAATAAAATATTGCCAAACAGCTGGCATGGTGGTGCCAGGTAGGGCTATTAGAGAGTGAGCACTGTTTATCGTGCTTTGGTCGAACAAGCTTGTACTGGGATGGAGTGCAATTAGGACTTAACCCATTGGGTCATTGAGAAGCCATAATTCAGGGGAAAGTGTTTTAATTGGGGTCACACTGACCTCAGCTGCATGTAATTCAGCAGAGTCCCGCCACTTCACAGACCAGAGCCTAGGTTTTCATGGCAGCCATTGAGGGAGGGGCTATACTTGCCCAGGCTCCCCACCTGACATGCCCATTTGAGTCACATAGAGCTTCAGTCAGACACCTGGCATAAAACAATACAGCTGAATTATGACAAGCAAGAAGCATTTGCCAGTCATAGCCCGCTATGATAGGATGTCTCCTACACACCACACTCTCATTTCACTTAGCATAATGACCTCCATGATTTGTAAACGATATGACTTTGTTCTTTTCTAGGCTGAAATTTTTCTCCATTTGTTCAGTAAATATGGGAATACAGTCAGCCATTCAATATCTTGATATACTTCTATCTTTTTAACTTTTTCTTTTATTCACACTTGACTCAGCAATACTATGAAGCCAGGATTTTTATTCTCTCAATAGACAAAAAATGTCAGGTTAAAAAACTTGCACCCTTTAAGAAATTTAATTTATTCAAATTTAGACCCATTCATTGAAGTTTGCAGTATATAAGCATCAAACCTGATAGCCAGAACCATATAAAACTAAATGACAGAACAGGGTGCTTGATCTCACTATGGGACACAAAAAGGCTTCAAAGAACTAGTAGTGAAAGAAGGTCATTCTTTTCTCTAGTTATTTTAGCTGTCACTCTGACTCCTTGGTTAAACCAGGTTGGGCCTGTACTGATGGTACTACTGTTTCCACTTTAGTGAAAAATGAACAGTTTCCATGCAGGATCCATTAAATCTATATTTCCACACAACTCCCCAATAACGCCTCTAATGGAGAACATAAAAAACTTGCTGATTGTTTTTTGTCTTCCACTTGGGAGTAGTTCCTGTTTTCATTTATGTGAGTTAGAAACTAGGAGGTTAGTAGAGGTCTTAGGCTCAAACCCATATTCATAGTCATCCCAATTGGGAATGGACAAAAAAATCCTACTGAAGAGAATAATTTTGATAATTAATTTGTATCATTGCTAAACTGCCTGGTATGTAATCTTTCTCTACAAAACCCCACCAGAAAGGGTATAGGGAGGGGCAGGCAG